TACAGCTTATATCAAATTATATTTGCACAGACAAAGCATATAAACACTCAACTAAGGTAGGCGAGCAATCCCAGGTTATCATCTTTGTTTGCAAAATATCCAGCTAGTGTACAGTAATTGCCCAATAATTCAGGCAATGAAGACCCCTGTCACAAGGAATGCCAGCTCATTTCCATATAAAATGAAAATGAAATGAAATAGGAGATACCACTGGAAGTTGCAACTTGAAACAATTACCTTTCATGTAAACTCCCCCTTAGTCTTCTACTGTAACCAATGTTGCATTACTATTAGAAATCTCATTAACCTGCAATTATGCTCTGTAATTACATACGGAGACTGATGCAAGTCTTGATCCATTCAGAGTTACTTTCCACCCACACTATAGTTTTATTTTTGGTATCCAATCAAAATGTGCCAGAAGAAATGTCAATTTCACATAATAACAAGCTAAATATAGTTACAATCACTAAATATATCATAATAACATTATTTAATTATAGCATTAACCAATTATCAAAACAATACATTAAATATGGCATGAACACTCATGCTAGAAATAGCCAATCGGAGTTACAACCATGAACCATAAAGGCAGTTGTAGGACACAAACATTTAATAACATGTGTATCAGGGCTTCATTTTTCTTTGCCCGCCAGCTGTGAGAAAAATGAAGGTCTGGGCACAGGATATAATCCCATGTAAACAGAGATGAAATTTGCCTCAGTAAAGCAAGCTGTGAAGTTTTGTATTGGGGCTGGTTTGCCTCCAGACAAGCAAACCTCTGTAAAATGTAAAACTCTCCCCTCCCCCCCCCCCAACCACTAACATCTTTCTGGTCTTTCTAGAATATAGAGCAACAACAGTAATAGACACAAACTGTAATTATTTTGTTATTACATACAAATCTATATTAATTGTGGACCCCATTTTCCACTTTAATTACACACTTCTTGAACTGAACAATTTAGTAATTTACTACCATTTGTAAAAATATAGAGAAATTTAACTTACTTAATTTATAGAGCCCTCGGTTCGAATGTTCGATCGAGTTTCACATCGTGGGCATAAGATCCCTTCCATTTTTCCACTTGGTAGTAATTGGTTCGACTGTAAATTATTTGTTATCCGTCAATTTTGAGGGATTTCTCTTCGCATATTTGTTTCATTTGCATATAGTGTTTGCATATTCAAATATCCTTGCCGCCATGACTTGAATCGAATGCCTCATTACGTCACAGTAGATTTGATTTTACAATTTGCATCAGTGGACCGATGCGAGCACCCGCAATCTGCATGCGATGCATCACTCAGCAGCCAAATCTAACATGACGTAGGGCTCTAAAACAATAGATTTGATGATGTCACGTTAGATTTCACGCGGAAAAGGACTCGGGACCGATGCATTCACTGCTGCAAAATGGATGCCAGTGATGTCAAATCGAATCTAACGTGACGTAGGTGATGCATTTTGCTTCAACTGTGACGTCAAAGGAAGCGGTAAAAAATAACATATTTTGTCGTGAAAATATTGACGCTTAAGTGTCGCAAAATAACAGAAAGTACACATTTGCAATCGCACGTCGCATATTGGATTTATTTTGACAATTTCGACTGTTATTGAGACTATTTAAATTGGATTTCATCCTAAATAGTGTATTCCTGACATGGAGTCAATTTTAAGCAAAGATTTGCGGGTTGATAGGAGATATTTTATTACTGAGTGCTTTGAGTATTGGCGACATTATATATCTATATATTTCAAGCAACATGAATCATGATTTTTCAATTTTGACCGATGCATTCGCATCGCTGGCATCGGTCTGGATCTGCCCCTGAGTTATAGAATTGTTTAATAAATATGTCTAAATATTTGCACATTTTTTTTCTTCAAATAGGTAAGACCAATATGTGGACCAAAAGTACATAAGAAGATTATGTACAATGGCCATAAAAGAACACATGCAATAAAGTGGCAAGCTGTAAATGCAGCAATAGGTTTAATTGTTCACCTGTATGGGCCAGTTGGTAAGTACAACTTTAAGTTGTTCTTACTAGTAATTCCCAACACTTCACCCTTAATGTAACTGCATTGGGTGACATTGTGGCCTAATGGGTTGACACACAAGACATAGACATCTAGAGGCAGATGGTATGTGAACCTTTTAACGTGCAATCTGCCCCAGCCAATGCACTCTTTAGCATTATAGTCTGTCTAATACCAGATGATTTTATTCGTCAAGGGAAGAGTCTTAGGGGCCGACCATTTAACTTTTGAGGGGGGGGGGGTGATTTTGAAAAAAAAATTCCTGCAAGGCTATTCTGGACGAAAAAAAATACCTGCACTAACAAACTGGGGAAAAAAATATCCTGCCCCAGTATTTGGTGGGAAAAAAATGTTGCAAAACAGCATGGTTGCAGGGATCGATTTGACCAGTCCCAGAAGATCAGGTTAATTTCTTGTTGGAAAACTCCTCAAAATGCTGGAAATAGCTTATCTGAGCTTCAAAAAATCCAAAATTTTCTGGGGGGCATGCCCCCAGACCCCTCTAGAGGCTCGCACCTTCGGTGGTCGACTCAGTTATTGCTGCCCTATGACGTATACTTATTAGTTAAACCATGCATATATATGCTGTAGGTAGCTGCAGTGATACAGACAGGGCTGTAGCAAGGCGGGTATTGGGGGTGGTTAACCCCCCCCCCAACTTTTTTAGAATCAACATATTCACAAAATCGGGTTGGCCATTCGGAAAATTACGGCAATTATTTAATAGTGGAACAAAATTTTAGTTGTTAAACAGAGAAAATATTATAAAATTGTATTGTCACTATAAATTGTAAGCAAATTGTAAATTTCGTCATACTAAAACGCTTTTTTCTGACCATCAGCATTCTGTCAAAACTTCCCCAAAGTCCAGGAAATAGCATTTCAGAGACTCGAAATTTAAAAATTTCCTCGGGCCTGAGGCCCTCGTTTTCTGCCCCCAATAAACAAAAGCTCCCTACCGCACTGCTTCTGTAATATGTCTGTGCGTAAATTATGCATATTTTTGTTAATTGTAAATTGCGTCTTCATTTTCCGAGTAGCAAACACCTTCATGGCTAATAGTATGCCATGATATATTCGGAAATTATTTTCGTCATTCGGAAATTTTTGGCCTACACCCCCCCCCCAACTATACACGCTACAATCCTGGCCAAAAGTCTTTGGGACACTCCAAAATTATCGCATGTTTTTATTGTTCTCTTCAGAGAGTGCCGATTTAACGCAAAATAAGTGTTTAAACCAAACCCCCCTCCCCTCCCCCGTTCAATGTTGATTTAGGGGCATCCTTAACTGAAATTTTATGAACTTTCAACATTGAATTGGGGGTGGAGAGGGGGAGGGGGGCGTTGCCTTTAGAATTCAAGGTAGAAAAGGGTGAGTGTCCCAACACTTTTGTCCAGGATTGTCTGTGTATAAGAAAGCTTGTGAATTGCAAATATTTTTTAAAGTTATGTCACATATATCCGTAATTACGCCGTTCACGAGACTTGTTGACGTCACAAATTGTTGGCCGTCATTCGTGTTTAGAAATCCGCGGACGTGCGCTATTGTGGGCACACTAACATCATAATGATTGATTGGTATGATAATTGATTGATTTGTTGTAAACGAGAGGAGAAAATTTAGACGTTATTCTTTGCAGAAAGCTATTCAGCATAAAGATAAGAATTTATTGTACATTTATAATGGTGTACCATGGTGAAATATCAGCTGAACAAAAGGCACTCTCAATGTATTTAAAGATGGAATCGGGAACATCATGTAATATTTCAAAATCGTCTGCGCAGAGAATATGCAAATCTGGTTGCAAATCGAAAGCGAAGTCAAAACCTGCAAGGACTGGAAGACCGAATAAAATTGATGCCCGAAGTTCACAGACTTTAGTTAGATCGTTGAAAAAATGTAGAAAGCATAGCGTTAACTTCGATGTTAAATCGTTAGTGAAAGAAAGTGGCTTAAGTTTGCAGATGGCCAGTCGACGCACATTTTCACGGCATTTAAACTTGTTAGGATACCGGTTTTTGCAAGCTCGAAAAAAGGGATTATTAACCGAGAAGGATAGAAAAAGACGTTTAAGTTTTGCTCGAAAAACAAAGCGACTCTGTTTGGGACCAAATGCAAATTTTTGGTGCGACGAAGTTGCCTTTTACTTGGACGGTGTATCATTTGTACACAAGTATAACCCTTTCAACGCGGCAATGACGCCCAAGTCCAGGGTTTGGCGAAAGAAAAGCGAGGGATTAGAAATTACGACTAAAGGATCTAAAGAGCTCCCTGGTGGACAAAGAGTTCACGTAATGGTCGCTATTGCTTATGGGAAAGGAGTTGTGCTACGAGTACCGTACACAAAAATGGACGGTCCATTTTTTGCACAGTTTATCAAAGAGCATTTCCGTATAGCTTTTGCCCGTGCAGGTCCTAAACAAAAAGGAAGGCGTTTATTCATAATGGATAATGACCCTTGCCAGACAAGTAAAGTGGCAATGAAAGCTCTTGAAGATATCGAAGCAGAAATGCATGTGATACCTGCACGTTCTCCCGATCTAAACCCTATAGAGAACATGTTCCATCTTGTGAAAAATGACTTACAGCGCCAAGCTATTTGTGAGAATATCACGGCTGAATCATTCAACGAATTTGAAAAAAGAATATTAAATACATTAGATAAGACTTCCGTCGACGTAATAGATCGCACAATAGATAGTATGTCTGGATGAATTAATGCTGTAATTAAATCCAAAGGATTCCGAATAAAATATTGAGAATTCATGCTTAATTTTATTGCTTAATATTACGTCATCTATTACGCAATTGAGACCGGAAATTCAAAATGAAATGTAAACATGTACAGTTCTCGTCGACAGGAGCAACACTTCTCAGCAACATTCCCCACGATAAATATAGTATTATTCATTTGCCACACCAAATTTCAGTGACATTTCTTTTTGTATACAATTTACTTTCAAAGCTAAGCCGAATATTGTATAATAAAGTACCTCACTTGCGACTTTCCACAGTTCTCACTTCTTGAGTAAATAAAACTGCAATATTTTGTATTTTATAAACTCAGTGTTAACGAGAACTGTTCAAAATACGCATTCAATGCACTTTCTAAACAAAACAAAACATTTTAATAGAAGTGCAGCTATGACTGAAATCAGATTAGAGGGTTATTTGAAATATACCATGACAACCAAGTGCGAAATTTCAAATAATATTACTGAGAACTGTGAGTGAGTACTGACTGTCTCAGCTTATACTGTTTACGTTCGTTAACAGAACTTTTATTAAATATTAACTATTATTGTATGTGCGGTATAACAGAGAGCGACAATGAATTACAGAAAATTAAACGACAATGATTTTATATAAGTGTATATCTGGTCTTCAGTTCAGTCCTGTGACTCCTGTTCACTGTTTTCTAGAACAAATTTTGCGAAACAGGAGGCACACGGGTTCAGGGAAATTTGATCTGATCGTGGAATTGGTTTCCAAAAGTGGAAAAACCGCCACCTAACTTGCATCATCTCTGTATTCGCATGATCCACAGAGCCTCCCTTTATCAGAAGAAGAGGAGCATCCGATGTGGCGAAGAATGGGGTGTCCTTGTTTAGCTCAATGTCTCGTTTGCAAAAGTTTTTTGGTGCTGGCAAATGAACCGTGTCTCCTTCAAGAGCTTGCAACAAGTCCGCCCAGGCAATGACAGCTTGGCTCCATCTAAAGTCGTTTAGGAAAATCACCTCGGCTTCTTCTGCCCCCTGCCAAGCAAATGTGCCAGTTGCAGGATTGCAGAAGGTGTGGTAGATGATTTTAAGAGGTGATAAAATAAACGTTTTTCCACTGTTCGCGGGGCCGTGTATAAGTATATTTTGATATTTCCCCTGGCCTTTTTTTAAGGCAATATATAAAGCTGTACAGAATGCCTCTACTGAAATGCAATTATTTCGAAGCGCTTTTAACGCCGTTTCAAGCCACGCCCCATCGCATCCTTCACAGCAATTTCCTTCTTTCGCCTCCTGCAACAATTGAATGCGGGACTTTTTTGAACGAAGAAATTTGGCTTCAGCTTCCGAAAATTCCTTGGCGACTTCCAATGCCTCATCAACCTTGTTGTTTTTGTTAGCTATGAATCCTGCCAACGCACTTTTGACTTCTCGGTTTTGCTCCACTGCAAGGCACACCAGCTGCAACCTCGTGGTTATTTTCTTTGTATACAGTCAAGCATTTCTCTTTGCGGGCCTTTCTTTGACGGGTTGAATTCTTTTCCCTAGCTTTTCTTTTCTTACTTGCCAATGCTTGCTCCGTTTTAGGGGGAGAAGACAAGTCTGGATGTTGTTCAGAATGCAGACATTCGTTGTCTTCTTTTGTTACGTATTTATACGCGCTATAATAGGTATTGTGATTGTCGCTAAAATGTACCTGTATAGCATAGGTTTCGTCCAGAAACCTTCTTACTTGCAGCCATCTTCCTCGTCTTGCCAATTTCAAAGCCATATGATAATGATACATGTTCATATCATCGTTACTATCGGTGACAGCGTGACCCTCGATGGAAACTACCCAGTGCGATATTGTTATCCCACAACTTTTCCACGCTTCCAGTACCGCATCTGCAAATTGCTGCTTTGTAGGAAATTTCGCGATATCAGCTCTGCTATACGTAATTAGATAGACAAGCCTTTGATGATAACTTTGTAAAGATACCATTCTGCCAAAATATAAGCTTTGCTTGACCTCGCTTTAAGTATAGTTTCACGGTGATGTCATTCATATGTGAAATAATATTTATATAATTCTATATATAGCGCGCGGTTATATTTATATTTAGATCTAGACATTACTTCCAAATTAAAATGTACGAATATAGTTCTATATGTGATCATCACTATTTTTCTCGAAATAATCTCATAAAAGGACATAAAAGGGGACGAAACCCAAATTCACTGGCTCACCAAAGATCGACGGAAAACATCCCCAATCATGACAAACCAGCAATATGCAGCTTTCCGTCATTAATAGCATAATAAAACACTTTAATTTTTTTTTATATTTTTAGACAATGTCAATAAATAAATCTTTGAGACTATATGAATAATTAGTTTTAAAATCATCTAGTTTGATCTTGTTGTTTACATTTCATTGTTTACTGTTTATCAGCTAGGCCTATATTCCGACAATCCTGGCCAAAAGTCTTTGGGACACTCCAAAATTATCGCATGTTTTTATTGTTCTCTTCAGAGAGTGCCGATTTAACGCAAAATAAGTGTTTAAACCAAACCCCCCTCCCCTCCCCCGTTCAATGTTGATTTAGGGGCATCCTTAACTGAAATTTTATGAACTTTCAACATTGAATTGGGGGTGGAGAGGGGGAGGGGGGCGTTGCCTTTAGAATTCAAGGTAGAAAAGGGTGAGTGTCCCAACACTTTTGTCCAGGATTGTAGCTACGGCCCTGGATACAGACTTGCCGACTGGAACTTTTCCAGTTGCACATCCTTAAAAAAGGCACTGAACCAAATGTTATACCTCATAGCAAAATGTATTATTAAGAGCAATGCATGAAGCTAAAAAACTCAACGTTAACTATAATCTAAATAGTATAAGCTATTGAAAAAAAAATGCTGCGAAAGAAAGTGTGGCAAAAAAAAAATCGTACATGGTGATGGTGATAAAAAAATATCTTTTGCACATAACGATCCCAGAAAAAAAATTCCCTGCCAGCAGTAAATCACCCCCCCCCCCTCAAAAGTTAAATGGTCGGCCCCTTAGTTGTGTGTTAATTAATTAATCAAGCATCATGCATGAGTACCAAACTAGAGTATGTAATATGTAATTTTTACTAAGGAAAGATATATGCTTTATGATTTTAGAATGCAAACGGCATGATGCAGCGATGTTGGTGATGTCTGGTTTGTATCCCCTACTTGAAATGCATTCACATGATCCCAATGGAAACCCATTGGCTATATATGGAGATCCTGCATATTCGCACAGAATTCACCTGCAGTGCCCATATAAAGGAGTAAACCTGACCCAGGCTCAGCTACAGTTCAACAAATCTATGACTTCTGTTAGAGTCGCTGTGGAATGGCCATTTGGAGAAATTGCCACCTACTTTGCTTTTAATGACTTTAAAAAGAATTTAAAGATCTGATTGCAGTCAGTTGCAAAGATTTATGCAGTGTCGTGTTTGATTTTCAATGCGAAAACATGTCTCTATGGTTCACAAACCTCACAATTCTTTCATCTGGTGCCCCACACCTGGATGAATATTTTAGTCAATCGATGTAAATCAATTGTTTTGTGGAGGGCCATGGTGCATTAATTTGGAACATTAAAGAAGAACAGATTATTTTCCTTCATAAATAATGACCAAGCAGTTGTATATTGAGTTCTCACTTTATATATTTTGTGTGTGATCTTGGGATTAGAAGTGTAATTCCAATTGAAGTGTTCCTCAAATATGGATTCAATACATTACCTCGGGCTGACCAATTCATTTCATCAAGTTCCTCGAAATATTCATACACTTTCTAGTATAACTGTAAACTTCCTGTTGAATAGTTTGGATGCATCAATCACCTTTGTTGTTTGTGCAACTAACCAATCATAAATAGAAAGGAAGTGACCAGAAATGATCAAATACTTGGAATTGGCTCTTTCACAGGAAGTGTATGAATATCTCGAGGAACTTGGTGAAATGAATTGTTCAGCCTGAGATAATGTATTGAATCAATATTTGAAGAACACTTCAATTGGGACGACAGTAATCCCTGTTAGATTAGATATAATTGACATTTTGACGATATTTTTAAAAAATCCTTTATTCCAAACAATCTTTGTACACAATTAAACTTATTCCAAAAATTATATTGACTTTGTAAATTATTTATACACAACAATTAAATTCAATTATTATAATTTGACAACAAAACAATACAGTTATTTATAGTTTGTATATGAACAATGATAGCAAACTAACTGTCAACATTCAAGAAAAATTATTGGGACTTGAATTTATCTGAAAAGGTTTGAAACAAATTAAACATTGCTGCTTGAGATTGTTGCTGCATTCTCAATTGCTCCAACATTTGATTTTGCATCCCTTGTTGTAAATCTAGCTTTTGTTTTTCCAATTTTAATTCTTCCTCGCGAATATTTAGCTGCCTTTCTGTATTTAGTCTGTTGCCCTCTTCTTTTTGCTTTAAGTATTCCACAAACTCAGTAGACTTTCTTTTTTTGCTTGGGGTAACTAGCTCTTTCCGTTTTGAAGTTTCCCCGAGTTTTTCACTTGCCTTTCACCACATTTCCTCTGCGGTTGCCTTTTCTTTCTCTTGTTGCTCCTGCTTTTTTCTATCTCTTGGATGAAGCCAAGTTCGAAATCTTTCATACGGTTGTGATGTCCGTTAGCAACTGTGTTTTTTCATCAAACTCTGCATCAATACCAGTCGCCCTAGCTTCTGTGCTTTCTTGCTTCTTGAAAGAGTCAAAGCTCAAAAAATTTAGTGCGAACTCCACGTTGATTGAGGCTGATGGGAAAGGCAGAATTAGGTATTAGTTTTAGGTTTTCAGCAACTCTTCGAAAGACCTCTCCGCGTTCAGTGGAAATCACCTCAATTAAGAGCGAAATATCATGTTTAGATTTCCATCTAAACTTTTTCGCCTTTTGCGGTTTTATACCAACCCTGTAAGAGGAAATTAAACATGACAATATAAACGTGAGGCAGGTATAAAATGCAAACCCTTTACAAAGACTAAAATGATGTAAAACTTGCATATTATTCTCATTTGTTTTGTCCATAAAGACATCGTTTTCAGCGGCCATTTATATAAATGCTCAAGTATTTGAGGTGCCACTGTTTTTCCTTCGTATTAAATTTTCCTGTGTTAAAAAATAATTTTTGCGAAGAATATTAATAATAAAATAAATTAACATCATA